TCACTTGAACCCAGGAAGTGGAGGTTGCAGTTAGCTGAGATTGCGCCACTGCACTTCATCCTGGGTGACAGAGCAAGACTCCGTCTCAACAACAACAACAAAAAAGGAAGGAGATCATCTACTTTGCAGGGACGTGAATGGAGCTGGAAGACGTTATCCTTAGCAAACTAACACAGGAACAGAGAAACAAACACCACATGTTCTCACTTATAAGAAGGATCTGAACAATGAGAACACATAGACACATTCGGGGGATCAACACACGCTGGGGCCTGTGGTGTTAGGAGAGGGAAAGCATCAGGAAGAATAGCTAATGGATGCTGGGCTTAATACCTAGGTGATGGGTTGATCTGTGCAGCAAACCACAATTGCACACATTTACCTGTGTAACAAACCCGCACATCTTGCACATGTACCCTGGAACTTAAAATAAATATACAGCTATCAAAGTTACACTTTGTTTCTTGCCAAAATCAGTTACCTTTATTTGCAGAATAGAATCCAACAACTGATTTTTGTTTAAGAAGGAATCGTAGCGTATGTCTGTTAAACACCATATAAGTAACTGACTCTGAACACTGGATGAGGCTGTAACAGGTCAGGTTTTAAGCATAAGCATATAGATTCACAAAACGGCGCCAGACCCTGCCCTGGTTGCTCAGGACACATAGGAGAATAAATTGCACTCTCTCCTTCAGTTTGCATTCTGATGACAGAGACAGCCAGATGCACAGTTTCATTCATGTTAGTATGGGAAGTACTGGGACTGTAATATTAATAACATGCCAACAAGGAAGGACCAGTTATAATAGCCTGAGTGTCAAGGAAGGCTTTAGTGAGGAGGTTGCCTTTCATTTGATCTGGGCCTTGAATTTGTCAACTAAAGACAAGGGAGAAAGAGAATAGATGGAAAGCACAGAATGATAATGAGCAAGTTTGGGGCCTGAGTTGTGCAAATAAATATTCCTTATAAATTGCACTACATGCTTGAGATGAAACAAGTTGAACACCGTTTGAGCAGTGTTGATAGTAGAGTGCATTTTAAGGTGTGTGTCAGCTTCTCTCAGGGCCTGCAGTCATTTCAGCAAGCATGGGTGTTTGGGGTCCTGCCAGTGCGTCTGCCCTTGCCTCTCAGCCCCACAAGGGGAGAGCAGTTGCTGGTTTGCTGCCTTTGCTCCAGGCCTGGTTCTGTGACTTGCCTTAGGCCACCTCTCTTTTCAGTGGTGTGATTTGATTCCCACGTATTTTGTTTTTTTTCAATTTGAACACCCTTAATCTCTTCCCCTCAGGCCTTCACTAAGTTTATTTCTAGGAAGAACAGACCTGATGTAGGGAGACCTGAAGCCCAGGTCATTCGAATTCTCCTATACTCCCTATGTTTTATGGTGTGTCACGACATCAAATGTTGGTGAAATGTGCTGAAGATGCGTCAAAACCCTGGACCATTGCAGTTCATAGAAGGATTTATTTTCTACATTTAAACTGTGGTATATACAGTATGCCAGCTATTTTCAAGTTTTATTATTACCTTTTAAATTTATAGGTTAGCATAATTTAAAGTGTCGGGAAACAAACCTTCTGGATTTAGTCTAGAAATTCTGGACCATCATTCTTTAAACAGTTCTGTTAACTTGTGAAGATCAGGATGATAAAGATCTCACCCTATGGGAGAGCGTACGTGGTGGAAGTCTAGATTTGACCACTGTGGAAATCAATTGCCAGTATCCTACTACGTTGGACATTCAGGCACTCAGTTAACCAGCAGTTCTTCTCCTGGATGTGTAGGAGAAACACACACACCAGGAAATGTGGCCAGGTGTGACCAGAGCAGCAGAAATCTGAAAACAGCTGGAGCACCCATCAGCAGGTGGAAATTATATTACAGTGTTATTATACGACAGGGAGATGTGTCATGCAGTAGTGAAAGTTAGGGGCCTGCAGTTATTTGCAATAGGCAGATTAGTCTAAGAAGTGTAATACTGAACCACCTATGATAGAAGTCTATGTTAACAAAATTCAAAAACAATCAAAATGAAACAGTGTTTCATTTGGCACACATATGTATAGTGAAACCTTTTTAGAAGCAGAAATACAAAATTCAGGGTTGTGGTTTTAATGGGTACTCCTTGTGGGAGGATGAGGGTGAGATGGGAGAGGTAGATGCAGGCAGGTGGATGTTATCAGTCATGCCCTTGGACCTGGGTATTGGCTTCATGGGTGTTCACTATGTAGTTATGCTTTTTTTTTTTTTTTTCTTTTTTCTTTTTTGAGACAGTGTCTCACTCTGTTGTCCAGGCTGGAGTGCGGTGGCACGATCTCGGCTCACTGTAACCTTCACCTCCAGGTTCAAGCAAATCTCCTGCCTCAGCCTCACAGGTAGCTGGGATTACAGGTGCCTGCCACCACGCCCGGCTAATTTTTATATTTTCAGTAGCGACAGGATTTCACCATGTTGGCCAGGCTGGTTTCAAACTCCTGCCCCCAGGTAATCCGCCTGCCTTGGCCTCCCAAAGTGCTGGACTACCGCACCCGGCCTATGCTTTTCAACTCACACATGTGTGCACATACATGCTTGTGTGTATCAGAATTACATTTAATTTCATAGATAGGACTGATTTCATTTATAGGCAAATGAAAAAAATCAGAAGATTCAGGGTTTTTTTTTTTTTTAATGAATGTGTTATTTTCCTTTGGCTGCTGTAACAAAGTAATCCCAAGTTGGTGGCTTGCAAAAACAGATTTATCCTGTCATAGTTCTGGATCTGGAAATGCAAAACCAAGGCCCTGCTGTCTCTGACAACTGTAGGGAAGGAGCTTTCCTGCCCCTCTCAGTGTCTGCAGCCACCAGCAGTCCTTGGCCTTCCTTGGCTCATGGCTGCACCGCTCCAACCTCTGCCCCCATGTTCACGTGGCCGTGTCCCTAGTGCCTGTGCTCACCTCTTCTAAGGGTGGTACTCTTTATATTCAGGATCTGCCCGATGCCAGGGTGTCTTCGTCTTAACTGACGATATCTTCAGAAATCTTATTTTCAAATAAGGTCACATTCTGAGGTTCCAGATAGATGTGAATTTTGTAAGACATTATTCAACTCACTATAGTGGTCAAAAGCTGTGAAAAGGCAGTTCACAGGAAAAGAAATAGAAATGATTAATATCAAAAATATGCTTAAGACTGGGCGCAGTGGCTCACACCTGTAATCCCAGCACTTTGGGAGGCCAAGGTGGGTGGATCATTTGAGGTTAGGAGTTCAAGACCAGCCTGGCCAACTCGCTAACATGGTGAAACCCCTCCTCTACTAAAAATACAAAAAATTAGCTGGGTATGGTGACATGCACCTGTAGTCCCAGCTCCTCCGGAGGCTGAGGTAGGAGAATTGCTTGAACCCAGGAGGCGGAGGTTGCTGTGAGACGAGATCACGCCACTGCACTTCAACTTGGGCAACAGAGTGAGACTCCGTCTTGAAAAACACACACATACACACACACACACACACACACACACACACATATAATGTGCTTAACCACACATTACTAAAGAATTGCAGGTCCCACTACCCCATTTTTTTTACCTATCAGATTGCCAAAGATTGTGCGATAGAATTGGCAAGGGTGTGGAAACATGCATCCCCACGATACTGGGAGTGTAGATTGGTGTGGGCTTGTTGGAAGTTAAACACAGAAAAATACTGATTGGCCTCCTCTTCCCTGGCCACAGTGCTGGACTACCGCACCCGGCCTATGCTTTTCAACTCACACATGTGTGCACATACAGCTTGTGTGTATCAGAATTACATTTAATTTCATAGATAGGACTGATTTCATTTATAGGCAAATGAAAAAAATCAGCAGAAGATTCAGGGTTTTTTCCCCCTTCTTCCTCAGCCTCCCTGCCCTGAGCCCCATCCCTATTCTGCCACAGAACCACCTTGGGTGCCTGCAGAGTTGGGCCTTAGAAACCTGCCGAGGAAAGCAAGCTCCTGGGGGAGAGGAGCAACTACGTTTTGAGGACGAGCTTCCCTCGAGTGAGCTGCTGCCCTCCTCGGCCCTCAGACCTGCCAGTCAGACTCTGGCTCTCAGCAAATGCCTCCCCAATTCCTTCAGTGGAACAGCAGCGTAACTGAAGGCCAAAAGAGGACCTGAAAAGATGGATGGGGGGAGGATTGAGGCATCCCGTGGCCACTGGGAAACCGCTGCCACAGTCTTCCTGCTCAGCAGGGACTGTTCAGCATGGCTCCATCTCTGGCTCTGCCTCGTTAGTCTCTCCCCAGGAGCCCTGCAGTTGATGTCCTTGTGGGGAGTCCTTGCCCTTGCTCTGCTCGTGGACAGGCACCCAGCAGGTGCCTGTGGGATTGGGCTTAACAGTCGCCATCATCCAGCCTTAGCAAACATGAAGTGTGTGCTATTAGAGAAGGCCTAACCCAAAACTTACCCCAATTTTCCATGGACTAAAAATAATGTAGATTAAGGTTCTAGGTGAGTAATGTAAATACTCAGTAGGTCATGCTGCTCTCACGTACTTGGGAAGCATTATTTCCAGACTCCAAACTGAAAGGCCAAGCGAAACCCTCCGTCTCTCAACCAGCAGAGGCATACATCAGCTGTGTCCCCAGCTCCGCTGTCCACCTGTGCTGTGAGTGCTATGTGAGTGGCCATGCCTCCCTGAGCATTGCACGTTAGGGGCTGTGTGAACCAGAAGCAGCTCTGGCACAGAGGAGACGTGCTAAGTGGAAGCCCTTGTGGCGAGGCCCCCACCAGCAGACTGTTCTGAGGCAAGCCGCCCTCACTGGTCAGATCTGACCAGATCTTCGGAGATATCTGTGATGTCCTGAGACACTCACACTCTGTGACAATAATGACTCAGCCGTACGTAATGTGAGTGCCGTAGCTTAGGGGACAGTGATGGTGAGCAGAGCCATTCCTGGGGGCCCCGTTGGGATCTCAGCGGGACTGAAGGAAGACAGGTTGTATGTTTAAAGCTGACAGTACTTTCTCTCTCTGTAGAAACATGAGGACACCGACTGTCCCTGCGTGGTGGTATCCTGCCCTCACAAATGCAGCGTCCAGACTCTCCTGAGGAGCGAGGTAGGGGCGGCCGGGCCCGGCCGGGAGTCTGCGAAGTCCTCAGGGCTGCGTGCCTGGGTCCCCTTCCCTGCATAGCCAAAGCCTCACGTTTTCCCAGTTCATCAGAGTCATGTGTATAGCCAGAAAAATAAAAACCACAGCAAAAAGCCTTACACCATTTTTTGGAAGTCAGAAGCAAGCAGCCAAAAGCTACGGTGTATGGTCGGGTGCAGTGGCTCACACCTGTAATCCCAGCACTTTTGGTTTGGAGGCCTCCGCGGGTGGGTCACCTGAGATCAGGAGTTCAAAACCAGACTGGCCAACATGCTGAAACCTCGTCTCTGCTAAAAATACAAAAACTAGCTGGGCGTGGTGGTGCACACCTGTAATCCCAGCTATTCAGGAGTCTAAGGCAGGAGAATCATTTGAACCCAGGAGACGGAGGTTGCGCTGAGCGGAGATCGCACTACTGCACTCCAGCCTGGGCAACAAGAGCGAAACTGCATCTCAAAAACAAAACAAAACAAAACAAAACAAAACTACAGTGTGGTAAATTCAGAGCAAAGATTGTGAAGCATTAAGAAAATGGGAATATTTTATACACAGTACAAGCAAAGGTGACAAGGGGTTTTTAAAGCAATTTTAACTCTATAGAATAGTAATTGCTGTTAGATTATCTCAAGAACGTGAATTAGAGACACTTCAGAACCATTTTGCTCACACATGCTGGGTGGAGGACAGCTCCCACATTTTAGGGCCGCCAGAAGGGCCCCGTGTGGCCTCCCCCAAGGGTTGCGCGTCTCACGTTGCCCTTGGCACTCTTTCTTTGAGATAGGTAGATTTTACGTTGACTTTACTTGATCAGTTTGGAAAATTTCAAGGATTCTTAATATTTCTGCATCTGTCCTTACCTGGAGCTCCTTTAGTTAGTATTCTGGGAGTCATCTGGGGCTACCCTGGGCTCCCTGGATGTGTGGTACCCTGATCTAAGGAGCCGGCTCACCTGCTCACCTCAGCATTTTTCAACAGACTGAAATTTTATTAATAGATACAGGGTAGCAGCAGGAAGAACCAGCCTCGCATGCCCCTGACTGAGCAAGAGGGCCCATGTGGGACTAGGGCCAGAGACTTGGGGTAGAGGAGGGCCCAGAGAGCCACTCTCCCGCATGGTATGCCCTCCCAGGACCTTGAAGCTGAGGGTCCGGGCACAGTCTCGCCTGATGACAGTGGCCTCTGGGCCCTGAATGTGCCCCTGGGAGGAACTGGGGAAAAATTCATGTAAATTATTGCCACAACTAGACAATCCTCTGTTAATGTTTAAAGAGTCCATGCTGTTGAAATAATTTTTTTTTTTTGAGACGGAGTCTTGCTCTGTCTCCCAGGCTGGAGTGCAGTGGCCGGATCTCACTCACTGCAAGCTCCGCCTCCCGGCTTTATGCCATTCTTCTGCCTCAGCCTCCCGAGTAGCTGGGACTACAGGTGTCCGCCGCCACGCTTGGCTAATTTTTTGTGTTTTTTGTAGAGATGGGGTTTCACCAAGTTAGCCAGGATGGTCTCGATCTCCTGACCTCGTAATCTGCCCGCCTCAGCCTCCTAAAGTGCTGGGATTACAGGTGTGAGCCCCTGCACCCAGCCAATAATTTATTTATTTTATTTTTATTTTTGTTATTTATTTTTATTTATTTTTTTTTTTTTGAGACGGAGTCTCCCTCTGTCGCCCAGGCTGGAGTGCAGTGGCATGATCTCTGCTCACTGCAAGCTCTGCCACCTCCCGGGTTAATGCCATTCCCCTGCCTCAGCCTCCCTAGAAGCTGGGACTACAGGCGCCTGCCACCATGCCCGGCTAATTTTTTTGTATTTTCAGTAGAGACAGGGTTTCACCGTGTTCGCCAGGATGGTCTCGATCTCCTGACCTCGTGATCCGCCCGCCTCGGCCTCCCAAAGTGCTGGGATTACAGGCGTGAGCCACCAAGCCCGGCCAATAATTTATTTTTTAAAACATTGTTAAACCTGCATCTCTGTTGGGTTTCTGGTGAAAGATGCTATTGAGCTATAGATTATTCCTGCCCCTATTCCAGAGTTCTTGTATATTCCCTAAGACTCAGAATACTGATGATAAAACCAATTTAGCAAAAGGTCCAACACCGAATTTACTCTAGTACACTGAAAATAACATACATCAAGCCCAATGTGTCCCTGGTTTAACATGTAATAGTGTTGACATGCAGGTTTGTTATTGCAGTAATGACACTGGAAGAATACATTCTAAGTTTTTAAATTAACCTTGTTCTGCGCAGTCTTCACACTGCGTTTCCCTGCCAGTCACCTGTCATGTGCCTTGTGGGCGCTTCCTGCAGGGACAGCTGATCCGGGTTCCGAGGAGCATCAAGGGCATCGGGCTGCCAGGTTCCTACCGCCTTGACTCTGCCCTGGCTCTGAGACCTTCCTTGAAGGGTAACCCTAGCCGTGTCCTCATGGGCCCCTCAGTCCCTGCCCCTCCTCCTCAGCTTTCACAGCAGGGATCCATTTTCCCCTCTGTTGTAAATATCCACCTAGAGGGAAGGACCGCCTTTGTCCTGGTAGACTGAGAAGTTGTAGAACTTAGCTGCATCCTCCAGGAGGACGTGCTTTGTGAGCCTTGGGAACACATGCGTGCTGGCACACAGAAAGACACCTTCCCAGCTGCTGCAGCCACACACCCATCCTCCCAAGAAGAGTCTGTTTTCTGTGAAGAAGATCTATCCCTAGAGTTTCCTGATGGGAATTTCTTCAATAAAAGACAAAACTTCTGCTCAGTCTTGGGGCATGATAAAGAAAAAAAAAAAGACCAAATTATACCTCATTTGTATTAGCCTAATTCCTTAAAATGTAATCTTTTCCATTCCCTTTTCTCTTGTTAGGGCATCATAAGTGATTTTTATTTGATAACTCACCAGCATTTGAGCTGAGCAAGGGACTTTTTTCTTGCAAAATGAGTTATCTGCTCCCAGCCCCACGTAAATTTCCTGCCATCAATTAGAGGTGACAGTATTAAGATTCTATTGCTAGACTGATCTTAGAGGTCTTTGAAAAGCTACCTGAGTTTCTGGCCCTTACAGAGGGAAAAAGTCTTTTCAGATGAAGGAAAAACTCATCTACACTTATCTCAAGTATTATGAGTAATGGTACATTGTGTAAGCTTGCTTTGAAAATATATTTATTTTTGTGTACCGTATATTAGGTGTGTGACCCAGTTGCATTCTGAATGCTTTCTATTTTTTTTGTGTTTTCATGCAATTTTTGTTTATGGTCTTTAAATGTGCATTTCAGTTTATGTTTTTTCTTTCTTTTTTAAATTCTGGCACTACAGATGGCATGTCACATTTTGAACAATTTGTTCTAAAGAAACTGCAAGTTTAAGAAATGTTATAGTAAATGTATTCTTGTATATTGGCGTATATGTGTATACACGTGACTAGACCGTATATTTACTGCATAGAAGTCTAGGCAGAGATGATATATACACACCTGTAGCAATAAACACCATTCTTAATAGTACAGCCCAGATGCTATCTGTGCCCTAATATGTTTGAACATTTTCATGCAAACGTTTGTGCCACAACTCACGTCTCTTTCCCGTTGCAGTTGAGTGCACACTTGTCAGAGTGTGTCAATGCCCCCAGCACCTGTAGTTTTAAGCGCTATGGCTGCGTTTTTCAGGTCAGTATCCGACATTTGTCCTTCCCAGTCACTGACATTCTGCCATGAGAGAAAGTTATTATATTAACATTTTAACATGCAAGCTCTGGACTCCTTATTCTTCGTCATGAAACTGAAACACCCTGTGGCCTGGGTGATGAAAGCCACGTGCAGCAGGCGGGTGCTCGCTTTCCAGTTGGTGGTGGTTTGAGACTGCAGGGAGTCACTGCGCTGAGGTGGAAGTTCATACATTAAGAGAAGTGCTACATCCAAACCAGCTAGTAACGCAACAGACAGGCTTGACGCTTGGTGGGGTTTTCAGATAGATGGTTACGGAAATTTTCGCTGTTACCTGAATATAAGCGAATATCAGACTGAGCATAGTTTCAACAGCGTGTGTGTCAGTACACAGCCATAATGATCACACACGTGTGTATCCATAAATGCATTTGATATACATGTCTGTGCTGACTCTGACCCCAGCTGGGGACAGACGCAAAATGGAGCACAGCTCATAGAGAGCATACCTCCCAGAGAACAGCGTGGGGAGGTGTCTCTGCTGCTGCCACACATGTAGTGTGAGAAATCTGCATCTGGTGTTTTGTTGTTGTTTATTTTTTAACACATCTGAGATTGCTAGTGAATGGAACCAAGTTTTCAGTTAAATATATGTATCTTAAAACTATCAAGAGGCAGTATATGTTACAATTGAAGTATTTTATATTTTATGTAGCACCAATACATTATTATGAAGTCAGTACAGAGAGATTGGCATCTTAGTATTTTCTGAGGAAGAGAACAGCCAAAGAGTAAGAATGACTGTGCCTTCCTTTGCTTTAGTCTCTAACAAGACTGAGCCTCCCCTGTTCTGTCGTACGTAGTATCATTCATTCTCTCTGTGTATGTGTATATATATGTTTATATATTGCAACACTTATATCAACATATATATATCAATATTCTATGTACAGAGTATATGTTTTGGAGATCATTAAAATGCTTTCTGTGGCTTCTTAATTTTCTAATAGCAAAACAAATTATATTTCAGACAAATTATTTCCTTAAATATATGAAGTACAATTACATGTGCTTATTCCTGACTCTAAAATGGTCTACATCTTATGTACTCTGTAGATTGTATTTGTTTTGTATGTAACTTTTCTAAGAATACTAGAATGGTGAAGAGCAATACATCTTTGGATACAGTGTATTTGAACTAGTAAATTAATACTTTAGTAAATTCTTTTGAATCCTGCTTTGCTTACATGTTTACTAGACTGTTGTCTAGTAAAGTTGTGGCAGTATCTCGCCACAACTGGTATCTAAACATTTTCCACTTATACTACATTTTAATGAGAAAAATAGTTTATAATAGATCAAGAATGAGTTTAAAATTTAATTTCTTGATATTACAAGTGTCAACCCTTGATAAGAAGCCACTTGAGATGAGCTGGAGGGATGAGGAGATAACCCTGAGATGCTCACTGTGGCATTGCAGGGTGCTGGCTCTGCTGGCTCACTGTGGCATTGAAGGGTGCTGGCCTCCTCACCTGCACGCAGTAGCCAAGTGGCCCTGAGCACAGCCCTCCTTAGGCGCAGAGATTCCCTGTTCATTTGATGCAAATAGGTCTCCCCTCTTTGTGTTTAGTGCTGCTTTTAGGGTTGTATGTTAGCCTTTCTGCCCTTTGGAATGCAGCGAGGTTCGCTGAATGCCTCACATCTTTGCTCTCGCAGGGGACAAACCAGCAGATCAAGGCCCACGAGGCCAGCTCCGCCGTGCAGCACGTCAACCTGCTGAAGGAGTGGAGCAACTCGCTCGAAAAGAAGGTGGGCTGCACACTTTCCTGCTGCTATGGGATTTATATCATCTCTGCAGATTATTTAAAGACAGAACCTTTTTATAGTTATTAATGGGTTTTGGATAAAAGAAACCATATCAAGAGATTGTCAAAAAAACTCTGTGTGTTCTTGAGCTTATAAATGAAGGTGTTTTATTTTTGTTCTTTGTTTTCTAATTGCCAAACAAGTGTGAAGTGCTTTTTTAAAGTCAATCACTTTGTGATTTTTTTAGCATCCATCCAGCACAGAGATGATCAGATGCCCAGTCCCCACCCTGCTGGTTTTTTTTGTAAGCAAAGTTCTGTTGGAAGACAGCCATCCTTACTCGCTCTGTGTTGTCTGTGGCTTCTTTCGCTCGAAAGCAGCAGAGTTAAGAGATTGTGGGGACTGTACAGCTTGAGATATTGACTACTTGGCTCTTTATAGAATAAGTTTGCCAGCCCTGACCTGGGTGGTTACCCCTCTAAATGTGTTACACTTCTGTGTCTTTTACAAGAGACAAACAGGAGAAAATATTTGATATGACTACAATTGATTTTGTCATTTGACACCTTGTGAAACTTGGTGCGCTCTCCGCATAGATGGGACCACTTCCCGAAAAGACTCATTCTCCCATGCTGTTTTTTTTTTTCTTTTTCTTTTTCTTTTTTTTTTGAGACGGAGTTTTGCTCTTGTAGCCCAGGCTGGAGTGCAATGGCACGATCTCCGTTCACTGCAACCTCTGCCTCCCGGGTTCAAGCAATTCTCCTGCCTCAGCCTCCCGAATAGCTGGTATTACAGGTGCACACCACCATACCCAGCTAATTTTTGTATTTTTGTAGAGACCGGGTTTTGCCATGTCGGTCAGGCTGGTCTCAAACTCCCGACCTCAGGTGATCTGCCCACCTCAGCCTCCCAAAGTGCTGGGATTACAGGTGTGAGCCACCGTGCCCAGCCTCCATGCTGTTCTTGAGAGACCTTCATTGCAGTCCTGTAGAGGCAGGAGCAAGCACCTTCCTGCAATAATGCTAGTTCTCAGTGGAGTTTGTTCTGTGATGTTCAGCTCAGCGGGACCTTCTTCTTCTCATGAGAAGATGAAAACCTCTAAGAATTAATAGAGAAGAACTTGTTGTAGGATCTACCATTGTGGCTTAATTATAAAAATATAAACTTAATTCAATATTCAACAAACATGTATTGAGAACTTGTAGTAGGAGGACACTAAGGTGAATTAGAACAGCCAATGGAGTTGACATTTGAGTTTCGTAAAGATTTGAATGTCTTGTTTCCAGTGTTAAATCCCAACAATTTAAAATGTAAATATACTGCAAGGAGTCTAAAATTTTAAATCAAAATATTTCCCTTTAACCTGCCTTAAGACAGTTTTTCATCTAAATGCTTGAGCTGAGGTTGAGAAGCAGTGGAAGGATTGGCGTCCTGTGCACACACATGGAGAAGAACAATGCTGATAGGCAGCAATGCAGAACTCATATTTGCAGAATCCTGGAGATCTTCCTGTGAGCATAGAGCATTTGCTCTGAGTTCAACGGTGGTTTACCTAGGAATCTTTTTTCCCTCTTTTTGAAGCTGGTACTTTGTTTCTGTCTTTTCAAAATTGTAGGCATAGATCACAAGGCTTCTTACCTCTCATAGATGCTGTGTTTCTCATTTAGAAGGTTCTTCGTTTCAATTTAAGGATAGGCTTTGTGGGCCGGGCGTGGTGGCTCACGCCTGTAATCTCAGCACTTTGGGAGGCCAAGGTGGGCGGATCACGAGGTCAGGAGATTGAAACCATCCTGGCTAACACGGTGAAACCCCGTCTCTACTAAAAATACCAAAAAAAAAAAAAAAAATTAGCTGGGCATGGTGGCGGGCGCCTATAGTCCCAGCTACTTGGGAGGCTGAGGCAAGAGAATAGCGTGAACCCAGGAGGCAGAGCTTGCAGTGAGCCGAGATGGTGCCACTGCACTTCAGCCTGGGCGACAGAGTGAGACTCCGTCTCAAAAAAAAAAAAAAAAAAGAAAAGGATAGGCTTTGTGGCTGGGCGCGGTGGCTCATGCCTATAATCCCAGCACTTTGGGAGGCCGAGGCAAGCAGATCACCTGAGGTTGGGAGTTCAAGACCAGCCTGACCAACATGGAGAAACCCCGTCTCTAACAACAAAAAAAATTCAAAAATTAGCCGGGCATGGTGGCGGGCACCTGTAGTCCCAGCTACTTGGGAGGCTGAGGCAGGAGAGTTGCTTGAACCCGAGAAATGGAGTTTGCAGTGAGCCAAGATCTCGCCACTGCACTTCAGCCTGGGCGACAGAATGAGACTGTCTCAAAAAAAAAAAAAAAAAAAAAAAGAATGTTACCACTGAGTTAGATACACAGTAGTTGAACAGCTCTGCAGCACGTGGTTATCCAGCAGCATGGTTGTGGACTATGCTGTCATCTGGCAGCCTTTCAAGGCCGAGTCCCTGTGAAGATTCGGCTCCTTCCTTTCCATTCTGTGCTCTTTTCCCCACTGAAAGTGAATGGTTTGCATCATTGGAAACCCCAGGACATACCAGAGCAGCCCGCCCACACACAGTGCAGCAGTTTCTCACTCTGTGAATGCCTCATGTGTTTAAACTATCTCCAGCCAAGTCACGGTGGAAGCCCCGAGAGTGCAGGATGCACAGCTGTGCACTGCCTTCTTGGACGTTGCCAAAGGACTGATATCTCCCGGACTCTGCCCATCAGAGCAAACCCCCGCCCTGTTGTCAGGCCAGCCAAGCCTCGGCTCTGCACATTCTCATTGTGCTCACGAGAATGTGCATGGTGCCCTTCACTAGGTCCAAAAGCAAAGGCTGGACAAAGAGCAGCGATTTTATGTTTACTTACAATGGGAATTTATTTATTATTATAGAATTATTCAGTTGGAATTTCTTAGGTTATTTTGTTCATCTGTCATAGAAAATAAAATGTTTGAGCTGGTTCAAAAAGACGGATCCACAGCCAGGCACGGTGGCTCACGCCTGTAATCGTAGCACTTTGGGAGGCCGAGGCAGGCAGATTGCCTGAGCTTAGGAGTTCAAGACCAGCCTGGGCAACACTGTGAAACCCCGTCTCTACTAAAATACAAAAAATTAGCCGGGTGTGGCAGTGTGCGCCTGTAGTCCCAGCTACTCAAGAGGCTGAGGCAGGAGAATTGCTTGAACCCGGGAGGCAGAGGTTGCAGTGAGCCAAGATCATGCCAGCCTGGGCAACAGAGTAAGACTTGTCTCCAAAAAAAAAAAAAAAAAAAAACAGACCATTCCTCACATTCATAGTCAAACTAAAGAAAAACTGCAAAATGGACTTAAAAACACCCATTTTATATTTTAAGAAGGCTTAAATGGAGGGGAAATGTAAAGCCCCCCCACCAAAGTGGGCTGGAGTAAAGGACGTTCTCAGTGCAAAGAACCTCGGACCTCCTGGGCAGGTGTTTCGCCGGCTCCTTGGAAACACACCTGCCAGGTGGACTTTCCTGTGCCTGCGGCATCTCCCTGTAGACGAGTGGAAGCAGTGATCTGCAGGACCTGGGAGTTGGATTATTTGATTAAATAAATAAATAAATAGTTTAAATAAGGGAAGTCCTAAAGTGAAAGAAGTTGAGTTGGCCGGGCGCGGTGGCTCAAGCCTGTAATCCCAGCACTTTGGGAGGCTGAGACGGGCGGATCACGAGGTCAGGAGATCGAGACCATCCTGGCTAACGCGGTGAAACCCCGTCTCTACTAAAAAAATACAAAAAAACTAGCTGGGCGAGGTGGCAGGCACCTGTAGTCCCAGCTACTTGGGAGGCTGAGGCAGGAGAATGGCGTGAACCCGGGAGGCAGAGCTTGCAGTGAGCCGAGGTCCCGCCACTGCACTCCAGCCTGGATGACAGAGCAAGACTCCGTCTCAAAAAAAAAAAAAGAAGTTGAGTTTAGTGTGACATGATGTGTTCATTGCTGTAAGTTGCTTCTGCTCATGCTCAACTGCTAGATTTGTTGGAGAGCAGTGGCGCAGTTATGGCTCACTGTAGCCTTGACCTCCCAGGCTCAAGTGGTTGCACCCAGCCTCCCCGGTAGCTGGGACTGTAGGCGTTTGCACCACACCTGGCTAATCTTTGTTTTTTCTTTTTGTAGAGATGGGGTTTTGCCATGTTGTTGTCCAGGCTGGTTTTCAATTCCTTGGGCTCAAGTGGTCCGTCTGCCTCAGCCTTCCAAAGTGCTGAGACTACACGTGTGAGCCATGACAGCTGGCCTATTGACAATGTTTTGGAGACATTACTGGGATTTTTGTTAAAAGAGTTGGCATACATGTCATCTTTTTGCAGGGATATGAGAATAAAGAGTCTGAGAATTCTGTCCCGTGTTTGACAGATGGAAATGAATGAATTGTTACTTTCAGAGGGACACAACCACCACGCGATGCTGCATATGGCCCGCTCCACATTCGTGCAGGTTGACCACTTGTAGGAGTTCGTGGACGTATGAGGCAAGGAAGGAAGGAAAGCCAAGTTTTGCGGAGTAAAATCGTAGGAAAGTGAAGTTATATTTTGCCCATGAGACATTGCAAGTTTTGTATTCCTTAGTAAATACATACTTGTTTTAAAATAAGATAGTGATTGCTTCAAAAGATGTCTCTTGACTTGGCCAACTGTGCCGAATATGAAAAGGACACCCGTCATTAGGCTGGTTATCCTTTAGATGGACAGCATCAAGAGTCAGCTCTTTATCACATCTGCTTTTGTGCCAAGATGCCCTCAGGCCGTCACCTTTGTGACCATTGGTCCCCAGGCATTGGTGGTTTTAGAGTGTACATCGTTGGAGAGGCACACATCGCATCTGGCACAGAGCTTAGGGTCTTCTGGGGTGGAGACCACCACCCCAGTGGATAGACAGAGACACCTGTTGGTAGATGGGGGGTCAAGATGCCCTTTGTAAAAATCTTGTGAGGAAGAAAGCCTTGTAGGAGTTACCCTTGAACTTTCATCTTTGAGACCAGGTGTTAATTTGTCTTTGGGAGCTAATTATCTTTCAGAAAGATTTGGAAAGGTCAGAGGTGGGGTTGGAAATGCTCACTCAGCAGGCCCTCCCTTTGGCTGACGTGGGTTGCAGAGGCTCTTCTGTGCTTCTGTGGAAGGGTATCCTGAGGTGTCAGTTCTGCCTGCCCGTGTTGAGGGGGAGCAGACTGGCCCCAAGGGTGCAGCACCCATGTAATTTTTTGTATTCTCATCACGCTGTCATCATGTTGGCACAACTGTTGAAACTGCAGGGTGTGGCCCCTGGGTGGATGTGAAATAATTTAGTAGGTTGTGACCAGCATTGTTTATATTTATGGGGTACAGTGTAATGTTTTGGTATATATACATACACATTGCGGAATAGTTAAATCGAGCTAATTAACATATCCATCACGTCACTTCATTTAAAATCTGCTCCCCCAGCAGTCTTGAAACACGTGTTAGTATGAATCAGTCACCATGCTGTTCAGTGGGCTCAAAAACATCCGTCCTTCTGTCTACCGGAGGCTGTGTGCCCTCTGCCCAGCAGCTCCACAAGCCCACCCCACCACCCACCTCCACCAGCCCCGGTAACCCCCATTCCCTGCTTCTGTGAGCCTGACTTTTTTAGATCCCACGTCTAAATGAGAGTACATACTGTTTGCCTTTCTGTGCTTGGCTTATTTCACTTAGCATAGTGTTCTCCAGGGACTAGTATTTTCTTAAATGAAATGGAATAAAAGAAAAAATATCAGGGTGCGTTGTAAATTATTAGGGCAAGTACGGCTTTATGACATCTGTTTTCAGGGATACCCACACATGTTGGTATAAATGGGGTGGTACATAAGCATCTGTTTCTTACTATGTTTCCTGGTCAACAGTTGAAAAATACTCTGGTAAAAGATTTACTAGTTTTTAGGAAAAACTTGAAAAAGCATCTCATTTATTCTGAAATTCAATCAGCTGCTGCACTTTGCCTCACCCTAATTACTGGAAGAGATTCTGAGAAACACTGTTTATGGGATTCCCTATTAAATTAGGACTGGCTGGGTGTGGTGACTTACACCTCTAATCCCAACCCTTTGAGAGGCTGAGGTAGGAGGATCACTTTAGGCCAGGAGTTTGAGACTAGCCTGGGCAACATAGCAAGACCCCAGCTCTAAAAAAAAAATTTTTTTTTAAAGCCTAACCAGACGTGGTGGCGGCATGTACCTGTAGGCCTAGCTACTCAAGAGGCTGAAGTGGGAGGATCACTTGAGCCCAGGAGGTCAAGGCTGCAGTGAGCTATGATTGCACCACTGCACTCCAGCCTGGGGACAGAGCAAGACCCTGTCTCTAGAGGGAAAAAAGAAAGAAAGAAAAGTACCAGGACTACCACTTTCTGTGTAAAGGGATTTTTTTCTTTGAAACTCTGTCAATAAGCTAACAGAAGGCCTATCTTGTGAAAATTTAATTTATATCGTTGTTAATTACTATGAAAACCACTTTTGGTTACATTAATTAAAGAATTTCTTTTTTAGGTTTCCTTGTTGCAGAATGAAAGTGTAGAAAAAAACAAGAGCATACAAAGTTTGCACAATCAGATATGTAGCTTTGAAATTGAAATTGAGAGACAAAAGGAAATGCTTCGAAATAATGAATCCAAAATCCTTCATTTACAGGTAAGAATCTTAGGACTGTGGCCAGATCAAAGGGTAGAGGAGCTTGCCTGTGTTCCCCTTCAGGGCTTAGCAAACTGCTTGAGCTGAGTCCTTGACCTTTGCAAGCAGAAAGGCAACTGATTTCTCTGGCCTAAGCGAAGGCTTAGAAAAGGCAGCTGGGCTAGCACAGGCCCAGCCTGGGAAGCTGCAGGTCAGCGTTTTCATACTACCTTTTCTCTGGAGAGCAAGCCTCCACCGCTCTTCCATGCCTTTGATCTACTATTGGAGAAATAAGATGCGAAGCCTGTATTTTTTAACTTAGTTGTTTTTATTGTTTAAGATTTCATATTGTTGATGAGTAGTGGCTGTGTGCAAAGTCTCACTTCCTGCAGTGAGGTGCTGTGCAGCCCAGCTCCTCTGTTGTGAGCTTTCTAGTGACACGCGCTCACCCGCTGGGTTTCACTGTGGAGATCCACACGCATCTCCAGAAGAACAAACCAGTGAACCTTTGCCGCCCTGAATAGAAGTGATGATATAAAGGGGACTGATGAAATGTCGCTCCTCCTGTCTTCTGTCGTCACAGGTGTCTGTGAGGTGCTTGTTAATAGATGAACGTTGTAGATGCTCTCTGCACATTCAGTTACTCGTGTGCGTTTGTGATAGTAATTCTCATGTGTGTGTCACACACTGTGGAAGAATCACTCATGTCACTCAAGGGCCTGTACTTACAGTGTGGCCCTAGATTATCTGGAAGAGAAAATACTTCTCATAGCACAGAGTCATGGCATCTTTGAGAATGCCTTTTCTCTAATTTTTGACATTGGAGATGAGTCATAGTGACTTGAATTGCATAGGGATTTATTAAATTAATTTCTTTTTTATTATACTTTGTAGTTACCCAGAGAGAAAAGGAGAAAACACAATGAAACATTATGTTGTATTAAAAAAGGCACAAGTCATTAGCATTAAATCAAGCCACATAAAGTACAATGTTTCTTAAAACACCAAGCCTCCTCTGCTGGAAGCCCCCAGCATTTTGCTGAGGGCCCAGAGATGTGTCAATCATCAGACTGGCCAAGGCCACCTGTGGCCCGCCCGCACCTGCATGCCCTGGCAAGCAGCTCTGGCTATTCACGAGATCATTGCTGTGGTTGACCTGGGGCTCAGAGAGGCACTGGAAAGGCCAGGGAAATCACCTCTTAAAATAGCCACAACAGAAGGAAGAACGCACAAGTACTGGATTCATTTACAACAAAAAGTTAGAATATACGCAGTGATGTGTCGACGCCCCATCCCAAACCTCACATTTCCTTTGCGTTCCTCTTCAGTTTCTCCCCTTCCTGTCAGACGTTCTCATTTACTTTACTTTTTAGTCGAGTTTAATCACTCTACGGTGTGTGATTTCTACTTGAAAACTTTTGTGATTGGATGAACCAATGAAACATAAGTCAGAAAGAAAAGGGAAACCAAGTTGCCAAGGCTGGAGAAGTTAGGATGGAGTGGTGACGGCAGCGGTCAGTGTCCCTTGACATGTGACGAGTAGGAGGCTGGGCGTGGCAGACAGCAGGTTGTGTTTAGAGAAGGGACTCAGAGCAGGCTGCCCGTGTCTGATTCCCCTGAGTGCAGGGACATGGCCCTGCCTGAAACGTGTGAAAACTCTTCTCCATGTGACCCTTTGAGCAGGTGTGGTCTAAACAGAAGGTCCAACTGTGTGTTTTTTTTGAAAGGGGAAATTCAGTGTTACCTTTGGGACGACTGTGGGGTTGGTGGTCTTTAGCCAGGAGGATTCTGCGCTGTCCATCCTCAGGAAATGCTGATTGAAAGCCTTCTGATGCCCAGAGGTGCTGGCCGTGTGGGAGCTGCACCAGACCACGCCATCCCTCTACTGCTGCAGGCCCCGCCCACCCTCTTGAGTGGCAGCCCAGCCCAGCCGTGTTCCCCATTGTTTCATCCTCAGTGCCCTTCCGGTTGCCCCGGGAAGAGTTTATTGTAAAATCTTACTGTGGCCCAGAAAACGTCTGTGACTGGCCACCCGTCACCTTCCCAGCTTCGCCCCGCTCCCCGTGCTAAAGTGGACCAGCTTGTTGTTCCTTGAGAGGCTCCCTGCTGCTGCACAGATGTCTTTTTCTCCTGCTTCCTTTCCTGGCCAGCTCCAGGCACTCCTTCAGCAATGTTTGTGGACCACCTAGGTGATGAGGGCACACGTCACTTGGGGTCTTCCTCTTTCTTCCTTGTCTGATTCTCCAGTAGACCCTAAAGTCCTGGTGATGGCGGGAGTCAAAGTACAGAGGGCCCGATGGCCTGGCTGTGGCAGTGGGGGTGCAGGTAGGGGTCAAGGAGTGGAATTCGAGAGTGTCTTTGCTTTTGCATGCCCGGGGAACAATGAGTTCTTAATATTTTACTTCTTAAATATCCTGTTTTTCTTTATTAAGAAGACAGCCTAGGCCGGGCACTGTGGCTCACGCTCATATTCCTAGCACTTTGGGAGGCTGATGCGGGTGGATCACGAGGTCAGGAGTTCAAGACCAGCCTGGCCAAGATGGCAAAACCTCGTCTCTACTAAAAATAGAAAAATTAGCTGGGTGCAGTGGCAGACATCTGTAATCCCAGCTACTCAGGAGGCTGAGGCAAGAGAATCGCTTGAACCCGGGAGGCAGAGGTTGCAGTGAGCAAAAATTGCACCATTGCACTCTCGCCTGGGCGACAGAACAAGACTGTGTCTCAAAAGAAAAAAAAAAAAAAGAAGATAGCATAGGTGCGAGCATGACCCAGGCTTCTGGTGTCAGTGGACTAGATGAACTGGTGGTTCTTGCAGTCAGGGGTCCACAGGGCACATGCGGAGCAGTAGGCACTGGGACAGAAGGGAGGGACATCCATCCATGCAGCCCTCAGGCTGCAGGCACCACTGGCCTTCTCACAGTGCCGGGCTTGCGTGCCAGGGTCCCGGCGGCCTGAGAGTGGGGCCTCACAGCAGGTGACGCGGTTGCAGCCCTGGCGTGCAAGCGTGTGAGGCTCATGGGCTGATGCTCCCTGAAGGCAAACCTTCTGATTTGGATTGTTGGTGTGGAGTGCTATCTGTCTCTTCAGCTCTGTGTCGGAGTCTTTTCTCTATACAGTTCCACACCTGCACTTGAGGTTTGTTTTATAGAAGCTGCAGTGGCTGAGTGTAGACCGTCTTCAAGGATGAAATCACGTTGGCTGTGTTTTAGAGAACACTTTATGTGACTCTGTGTTCTGTTTTGAAATGGTGCCATTGATACAGATGAAGGGCCTGTTTTAAAAATAGCCCGAGTTCCCTTGCTGCTCATGGAGATACCTTTTCTTTAGTCGTGCTAGTCTGTGCATGCGGTGCATGCATGTTGTGTGTTCCTGACTTGGGGGCCCCTGCTGTGCAGGGGAGTCCTTGCTGGAGACTCCCGTTCTGTGCTCGAGGTCAGGCGTGCCCTTGTGTAGCACCATCATGGGGGAGGGGTGGCTGGGTGCCATCCCCCTCTTAACCTCAGGGGCCTGAGGCTTAGTGTGAGGCACAGCTTGTCCTGGGCCACCCTGCCTGGGACTCATGCTTCATTTCGGAGTTTGCTAAGTTACAAAGGGCATCTCTCAGACTTCTGTTGATGTTTTCATTAAGTTTCCCCTGCAACTCACGAGCACCTGCCAGCTCAGTGCACGGTATCAGAAGGTAGAGATTCAAGAGGCTCCTGGTGCTCACTGGAGGAGCTGTGTGGTTTGGATGTTCAGTGTCGTCAGTGGTATTGTCCCCCAGCAAATAGACTTGGTGAGCTAATTAAATATCCTTCTGAGCATGTACGATTGTGTAAACTAAAGGGGCAGGGACAGTGTCAATTTAAAGGGACAATGACAGTGGAAAGAGGTGTTCGTTTCTTGGAAAGAACAGGAAGAATAACACTGCTTTTATACCCAAAAAGCCACCCAAACCTGTCATGTTTGTGTCTTCGTGGTTAATAACAGCCAGCAAAGGTGCTGAAACCTAGATGTTTAAAAATAGACTTCCAAAAGGAGAAGTGAATTCAGGGGGCCCTGGGACCCGCCCCGTGAGCACCCGGTGTGGCCGCAGCTTATGAGGTGGCTCAGTCATTCCACAGCTTCACTGAGCACTAAACCCTCCAGCCCTCACAAGCTGCTTGAAAATGCACATCCTTTTTTGAAGTGAAAACCCTTTAAGTCCCTGGCTTCATCTCACAGGTGTGCATTCCAGCCCCTTAACACAGACTGGGCCACCAGGGCGGAGTACAGCTCCCACGCCTCCAAGTAGTGACAAATACGAGCGGCCTGTGTGTTTTGGGAAAGGGTTTCTGAATTAAATGAAGTAGCTTGAAGTCAGGCCTGGTTGCTGGCAGCCTCACGTGTTTGGGGCAGGGTTTCTGTGTTCCTGCCTCCCTCGCTGGGGCTTGGCAGCCTGGGTGTGGAGCTGGTGGGGGAAGACCCCTGTGTCTGCAGCATCGGCCCACTGGGTTTCACCCAGGGCCTGAGGACATGCCTTGGGGCCCTTTCCTGCCACCATCCAGGTGGGAGGAGTGTGAGGAGTGGGAGTCTTCTCCTGGGATCCTGGGGTCATTCTGGGGCAGCCACAGAGACAGGGCTGTGCTTCTGCCCCAGACCCAGCAGCAGGGTAGGAGGTCTTTAGATGTTCCAAGGGAAGATGAGGGCACATGGGCACAATTCTGGCATCCTAAACCTGAGACCCTGTGGCAGCCATGCAGGGCCACCTGCCCCGTGGGACCTGCACTTACAGCGGTGAGGTTTCTCTGGGAAGCAGGGACCCTCCATCATACCTATGGCCCCCGAGGTATACGAGGGCTGCAGAAGAGATGTCCATGAGAGCCTTGTGGCCCTGCACAGGTGCTGTGGCCTGGGAGAAGAGCTGGGAGGAACACGTGGGAGTGTGAGGGTGAGGTTGGATCTAGGTGTCTGACAAGATTGCTGGTGTGGGGTTGACTGATGCCAGGGTGTGGGCATGTGAGAAACAGGCGGGCAGGTGGCACCAGCGCTGCTGTGAAATAGGGAAGCCTGGGCAGGAGCCGTGGGCAGCAGAAGCATGAGCTGCTGCCTGCCCCAGAGACAGCGGAGACCTCTCCCCTGGTCTTCTGAACACTTGCCACCTGTCACTTCGCTTTCCTGGTGGCTCTCTGTTGACAAAGCAAGCTGACCTAGTGGAGCCTCCTGTTGTTTTCTTCCATCTGGCTTCATGTCACCTCGAGTGCTCCCTGCCGGCACAAGCACTTGTTCCCAGGGAGCTCCCAGGAGGTCCGATGCAGAGCCCCGCTCCTGGAGTCAGAGCCGCGGGTAGCAGGCCTCTGTGACTGTTCTGCTCCTAGCCCGTCTGTATTTGATGGGAGGCGGTGCAGCATTTTCTAAGTCCTAACTATGTTTTGCTTTTTAACACCTTTGGTTTGGAAGCGAGTGATAGACAGCCAAGCAGAGAAACTGAAGGAGCTCGACAAAGAGATCCGGCCCTTCCGGCAGAACTGGGAGGAAGCAGACAGCATGAAGAGCAGCGTGGAGTCCCTCCAGAACCGCGTGACTGAGCTGGAGAGTGTGGACAAGAGCGCAGGGCAAGTGGCTCGGAACACAGGTGAGTCAGGGGCCGGGGCCGGGCCAGCAGTGTGCATCTGGGCCCCGGGGGACTGCTGGGGCGGGGTCTGTGGGATGAGGGCTATGTTAGGTACATGTGCCTTAGAACAGTTCTTTCCAATTATGGGTAACACGCAGAGGTGTGATGACTTTCCTGCTGAAAGTCCCCCAGCAAAGACAAACGTTTCCCACACAGGCTTGTCCCCTCCATGTGAGGCTCTGTGTGGTGTAGAGAGTAGGGGCAGCTGCAGCCACGGGAAGCTACAAAGCCCTCCTGGGAGAGACTGGCCACAATATGACCTGCAGGACAGGCCCAGGTGCACATGGCCAGGACCTGCTGGTCGGGGCGCCCCAGACCTGACTCCTAAGGGCCAGGGGGCAACAGTCCCACTGCGCTCTGCCAGCGTGTTTCTGATCCCACAAGCAGATGTGGGCCTATGGCTTTGGGGACTGAAAGAGTATTGGGAATATTTACATGAAGAGGATTAATGGCAGAAAGAACACAGATTACCATGGCATGTGGGGGGCCGGATGAAGCAGGCAGAGGATGAGGCTGGAGGAGAGGGGAGCAGCTTCGCCTCTGAGAGAGCAGAGGACACCTGCAGGCACTGAGACCGGTGGGAGGGGTGGGGAGAGCACAGCTGTCTCCTGCTCCCAGGGGCTCCCACCAGCAGGCTTCCCAGGAAGCCATAGTGGAGTCGGAGTGCTCTGTCTTAGACCCTGCAGTGAGGTGTCCTGTGACACACAGGCAGGTCACCCACCTAGGACATCCCCTCTCAGCAGGCCGTGCCTAGTAATGTGTCCAGACAGGGCTGTGGGCATGAGAGCGGTGGTAGAACTGGGGCAGGGACCTGGGCTCTTCCCTGGGAGGCGGTGGCCTCAGGACATCTGTCTACACAGTTTTGCTGGTGTTACCCCCAGAAACCACAGTCATTTTTATATTGTTTCAGATGCTGATGTGACTGGGCATGGTGGTGTGGCCTATAGTCCCAGTGCTTTGGGAGGCTGAGGCGGGAGGATTACTTAAGCTCAGGAGTTTGATGCCATCCTGAGCAACAGAGCGAGACCTTGCCTCTTTAAAAATTAAAAAATGAGGCCAGGCACGGTGGCTTACGCCTGTAATCCCAGCACTTTGGGAGGCCGAGGTGGGCAGATCATGAGGTCAGGAGATCGAGATCATCCTGGCTAACACAGTGAAACCCTGTCTCTACTAAAAATACAAAAAATTAGCCAGGCATGGTGGTGGGCGCCTGTAGTCCCAGCTACTCGGGAGGCTGAGGCTGGAGAATGGCGTGAACCCAGGAGGTGGAGCTTGCAGTGAGCTGAGATCGCGCCACTGTACTCCAGCCTGGGCGACAGAGACTCCGTCTCAAAAAGAAAAAAAAGGGCCAGGTGCGGTGGCTCATGCCTGCAATCCCAGCACTTTTGGGAGATCGAGGCAGGTGGATCACCTGAGGTCAGGAGTTCGAGACCAGCCTGGCCAACATAGTGAAACCCTGTCCTTACTAAAAATACAAACATTAGCCAAGCGTGGTGGCAGGCACCTGTAATCCCAGCTGCTCAGGAGTCTGAGGCAGGAGAATCACTTGAACCTGGGAGGCAGAGGTTGCAGTCAGCTGGGACTACGCCACCGCACTCCAGCCTGGGCAACAGAGTGAGACTCCGTCTCAAAAAAATGAAATAAAATAAAAAGTGCTGGTGCAGCTTTGCTTTCCTAACCTTTCTGACGTTCACCTGTCTCATTCACCAAATCCCTCCTCACCTGTGGCAGGCCTGCTGGAGTCCCAGCTGAGCCGGCATGACCAGATGCTGAGTGTGCACGACATCCGCCTGGCCGACATGGACCTGCGCTTCCAGGTCCTGGAGACCGCCAGCTACAACGGCGTGCTCATCTGGAAGATTCGTGACTACAAGCGGCGGAAGCAGGAGGCCGTCATGGGGAAGACCCTGTCCCTTTACAGCCAGCCTTTCTACACTGGCTACTTTGGCTATAAGATGTGTGCCAGGGTCTACCTGAACGGGGATGGGATGGGAAAGGGGACGCACCTGTCGCTGTTTTTTGTCATCATGCGTGGAGAATATGATGCCCTGCTTCCATGGCCGTTTAAGCAGAAAGTGACACTCATGCTGATGGATCAGGGGTCCTCTCGGCGCCATTTGGGAGATGCGTTCAAGCCCGACCCCAACAGCAGCAGCTTCAAGAAGCCCACTGGAGAGATGAATATCGCCTCTGGCTGCCCAGTCTTTGTGGCCCAGACTGTTCTAGAAAATGGGACATATATTAAAGATGATACAATTTTTATTAAAGTCATAGTGGATACTTCGGATCTGCCCGATCCCTGATGAGTAGCTGGGGAGGTGGATTTAGCAGAAGGCAACTCCTCTGGGGGATTTGAACCGGTCTGTCTTCACCGAGGTCCTCGCACTCAGAAAAGGACCTTGTGGGACGGAGGAAGCGGCAGAAGGCGGACGCGTGCCGGCGGGAGGAGCCACGCGTGAGCACACGTGACACGTTTTATAATAGACTAGCCACACTTCACTCTGAAGAATTATTTATCCTTCAGCGAGATAAATATTGCTGTCAGAGAAGGTTTTCATTTTCATTTTTAAAGATCTAGTTAATTAAGGTGGAAAACATATATGCTAAACGAAAGAAACATGATTTTTCTTCCTTAAACTTGAACACCAAAAAAAAACACACACACACATGTGGGGATGGCTGGACATGTCAGCATGTTAAGTAAAAGGAGAATTTATGAAATAGTAATGCAATTCTGATATCTTCTTTCTAAAATTCAAGAGTGCAATTTTGTTTCAAATACAGTATATTGTCTATTTTTAAGGCCTCATCTGGTCTCTGTTTTAATAATTTGTTTGTCAGAAGACCCTGAAGTATACCTAGGTCTTTTTTTTGAAAGTCTCTAAATTCAGAATCATTTTTAATTTAAAGTTCTACAAATAATTGTTACTGCAAACATTTTATTTTAAAACGCTGATAGACTGATATTTCTTGGAAGAAAATATAAAATATCAAACACTGGTTATCACTTGTGATAGGAAAGAGAATATTCAACCTGTTGTTATTTCTCGTTAGAAATGTAAACCTTCAATATCTGTCGTAGTTAATGACACGACTTCACAATTCTGAACGGAGCCTTGCTCATGGATGCTGTGCATCATTTTCAGATTTATAATTGTTTTCACCCTAAAATAGGGCATCCGTTGAACTTTGGAGTTCTAAACAAAATCCTGTAGGTGTTTGGATTCTGCCCCATGTGTTCGGATGAGCTCTCTGTTGCTGACAGCACCGGCCTTCGGTCTCCATGTCAGGGGTGGGCGGGTGACTGCTGAGGGAGGCCCGCAGGCGTGTTTCTCCATCCTGTCATCTTGCTGCATGCCGTCAATGGTCTCCGAAAGCAACATTGCGCATAGAGCTGGTGGCATACGGTACATGTGCCTTAGATGTGACATGCTGCTTCTCCACCCTGGGTTTGCGTTGAGCATAATTCTAGAAAGTGCTAGTTTAACCAGACTTTTCTCTCCACCACTAGATCTTTGTCTCTACAAGGGCCCTCAGACACCTCCGCACCTGCTGAGGGGAAGCCAGGCTCCACCGTCGGCTTCTGGAGCCTCTGCTGCTTAATTACCACAGATTCCAAATCTCTAGGCCCCACGAGTGAGCCGCCTGGTCCAAGTACGGCCTGGTCCCACCCTGAGGGAGGCAGGTGTGGAACAGAAGCCGAGCCTCTCCGTGTCCCCACTGGGGCCGTGGGCACCCCCACAGCCCGAAGCAGAACCCTCTGAGCATTCCAGAGACCGCTGCTCGGGGGCCTGCCCAGGCTGACTGATGGGCGCTCCTGACCACCACCCTGGCGGGAAGGGTGGCCACAGGGCCCGTCGTCCCAGCCTGCGCCTGCCCGGACGGCATTTTCTCAACTCACTGTTTACTGTCTCTCAGTGTCCAACTGTGATTAGAAGCCTGGAGCCCGGCCCCTGCACCCCTTTTGCTATGCACCACGCTTCATGGTGCTCTTACCACTGATGGGTGCTACACGCGACGGGTGCTTCTTAGGCAAAACCAATGCGTGCGAACCGCCACACCTGTGCCACTTGCCCACAAGCCGCGCCCACAATTGGCCAGCTGGGCCGTGCACGTCAGACTGCCTGCCTCGGCTCTCCCCGTGGCCGCGCGGGGACAGCTTGGTGGGTGCCCGGTGGCCCACCTGTCTCTGGTGCTGCCATCTGTCCTGGGTGTGCCTTCGCCCCAGTGCCTGCTGGAAGTGCCCTCCGTCGCACCCCTGTGCCCCGAGCTCCCATGAGGGGCCTGCCGCGCCCTTTTGCGGTCGAAGCGCTCCGTTTTTCTTATCTGCCTTTCCTTTCCCCGCTTTCCTGGGATTGCTTTGGGGGAATGAGTATCTTTGGTTCCGCCCCGTGAGGGAGCTCATAAAGCAAGGACTTCCTGCAGGAGCTGCAGAAAACTGTTCCTTGAAGGTGTCCCCCACCTCAGGCCTGTCCCCTACCTGCCCTCAGGTAGTTTTCCTGAGGTCAGGGGTTAACAACAGGGACATCCCTGCAACTTCCCCTTCACAAAATGTACAATATTAGATTAAGGTTATGCAACATCTTGGTCTGGTAAGAACCGTTTCCTCCCCTCTGGGTTGAGGGCCTGCTGTGGCCCCCGGAAGCAGCAGTGCGTGTCGCTGGGACGTCTCCAGTAGCCCTTCCCAGGCAGACGCTCCTGGGGGGACGCCATGGGACCCCACCCAAGGGTCCCACAGACATAACCTGAGTGACGGGGGTCCTTGAGGATGGGATGGCCCATGTCACACGCTTTGTCCTTGTGTTTGGTTGTATTGGGGTCTCTGTTCTGGGTGTGTCTTCCTCTCATATACTCAGCACGGGGGGCAGCAGCCTGGGACGGCGTCCCCTCTCCCAGCGGTGGGCAAGCCTTGTGCTGCTCCACCCTCAACCCCGGGGCACCCTCACTTGGCGCTCGCCGCCTGAGCCAGCCTGCGGCCATGATCTCCCTGTAGCTGAGGCCCAGCGGCCCCTCGGGCAGTGGCCGGCCATCCCCGTGTCACAGGGCCCTGGCAGCAAGCATGACACGGGGGTGCACACTGTGTGCTTGGGGGTGCTGCTTATTTACCAAAAGTGACCAAACTCCCAGCAGGACAGAACTGTTCAGTACTTTACAGAAACCAACTGAGTCCTCTGCACGAATTAGGCTGGTCTGTTTCCCATCACCTTCGTAACAAAACACCGTCCCCTCTCCCCTCGCCTCGAGCAGTTTCTCCAGGACACCGTGGTTCGGGCTGCTCCCTGCTGCCAGGCACGCTGGGTGGCTGGCCTGGGCCCGGCTCACATGAAGGGCACTGGCTCTTGTGACTGCACTGAGCCCCGTGCAAGCTGCAGCCGGGCCTGGAAGCCTGACCGTCTGGTTCTAGGGCTTTTCCAGCAGAGCCTGCAGAGCTAGAAGTTGGGGTGTGTCTTTGATGATATGGGGGCCAGGCTGGGAGTAGGGCCTTTCCCGCAGGGTTGGGTGGCTCAGTGAGGGTGGAAGTGGGGGCCCATGGGGCCCTGGCTTTGGGACTAGACGTGCCAGCTCCAGCTGGGCTGGAGGGAGCCTGAGTAGGCCCTGACATACACTGGGCTTTTCAACTCGCCGTGCCCTGGTGACACACAGGCGGCCAGGTCAGGGTTTGTGTCAATTCTAGGAGCCGTCAAGCATGAAAGTGGTGCTGTCCCCTGAGCGCAAGCCTCACCAGAGCCCTGGGCGAAGGCGTGGACTTGCAGATGTGTGTTCCCTGTGCAGGCGGGCAGAGGGGGCCCTGGAGACCCAGGTTGCAGCCCCATTCTGTCACCCCTTCCTCCCCAGAGCAGCCTCTGCCGAGGGACGGCACCTGTGTCCCTTCCATGCCACCACAGTCAGTTGAACAAGGAGCCCTTTGCTCAGGCAGCAGCTTCTGCCTCTCCCTCCTTTCCTGTCCCATCCCCCATGCCCTTCTTGGCCTGTGGTGCCCGGGGAGCCATGGTGTGGCGTACTGGGGCTCCTGCTCCTTGGGCCACTTCCTTGGCCCGGGCCCCACAGGCCCACCGCCTGCCAGGGCTCTCACTGCACCGGCTGTGGCAGGAGGCTTCCCCATAACCCCATGTGGCCCAGCTTGGTGAGGATGCAGTTCCAGGCACAGTCCCTGGGACAACCAGCTGCCTCCCAGACCACCTCAGCCTGCTCCAGGGTCCTCAGTCACCCTGGGCCAGGGGCCACATGTCCCATGGATGTCGGCCATGCCAACGTCACATTCCAGCACCCCTTTTGCTTGATGGTGTCTGGTGGTAGTCACCATGGTGGACCCACATCCTTCAGCCAGAGGTGATGTCAGACAAAGGAAGGGTGGTCTGGATGGGTCCTTAAACAACCATTCTGTCCCTAGCGGGGTCATTCCTTGTCAACCCAAGGGAGGGCCAGGGAGTACACTGATCCCAACAGCTGGGCTGACACCTCCTTTCTCCCCTGCACAGGGAGGATTGGCGCGAGGACTGTTACCCTGTGCACAGCTCCAGCAGGGTGGCAGTGCCACTGTCTCCGTGGGCCATTGCAGGGTTGGGCAGGCGCAGACTCCCCTTGCGGGCCCCTTGCTCAATTCGCAGCCCTCCCAGACTCCTCCCTGTACTGGGGGTAATTTGTGTGTCAAAAGGGCTCCAGCAGAACTGTAAAATACTGGTTTTAGAAAATGTAGTGCAGATCTTTACTTAGTAGACTGCAGAAGGAGGGCTAGGGAGAGTGCTGGGAGCCCCTTTGCTTTTGTGTCTGTGATGAATGAGGGTCTGTCACCCAAATCTACTTCTCAGCCCATGACCATTGTTCTGTTTTCCGTTTGCAAATCTCAGTAGCTCTGTTTTCTCCAAAGTAGAATGTCCCCACCGGGGCCCAGGCCAGGCGAGGTCAGTGTGGGCAGGCTACTGGTCATTATTGCTGCCTCGTCCAGGCTGGTGCTGATGGTCACAGGCACAGTGGCATCAGGGAGCCGGGCCAGCAGGCGGCGTGAGGCGGGGCCCGCAGCTCACTGCAAGGGCGTTTTCCACCTGACCCAGGTGTGCCCCACATGCGGTTGCAGGGCAGACATATGAAGCCTCGGCCGCCTCAGGGCTGGCAGGTGTGCGGGTGAGGAGGCCCCGGTGGCCAAGCAGAGCCTGCGTTTCATTTCTCCTGCTGCACTGTGTCTAGTCTGTCTTGTGAGCTCTCACCGTGAAAAGATGCTAGCAGTCCAGGGTCGCTGCACCACTCCTGTAATTAGGTGATGATAGGTTTTGACAACTTAGTCCCCTCAAACAAGTAAGATACCCCTCCAACAGCAAATTCAGTGACTTAATCGGAAAACACACAAGCTGGCATGATGTCCGGTGATTTCTCTAAGAGATGCCTGTGGGAGAAGGTGTGTGAAGTGTGGAGGGCAGTGTAGACGCTGCACAGCATCTGCAGATTTGCAACCCCTTCTCTGCCGGTGCCTCTGTGTTCAGTTCTGTTACCCAAAAACAAAGACCAAAGAAGGCCAGTCTCATTTGACCCTATCTTTTTAATCTGCCTGTTTTAAAAATTGCGTCTGTAGTAGCCGCTTGCTGTGAGGACACATCTCGACAGTCCAAGTGATTCTGTGACCAGTGATTCGGGCCCTGTTTTCCGCTCTTCTAAGAAAAAAACAAAAAGACCGTCAGTGATTGCCCAGCAATAATCATGTTGTTACTGTGAGTTGGCAACATGCCTGACTTTCTGATAGCATTACTGTTTTATATTTTTGTTTATTGTATATTATGTGTGGTTTTATTTGGTATTTATTTGTGTTTTGAGGTCTTGCAATGTTTTTGTGTTTCTGATGCTAATAACTAAAGTTTGTAAGACTGTAGAATGCAAAACTCGGAGATGCTAAACTGTCTTATTAGAGGAAAATAAATCTGATTATGGAGTCTCAGTTTCTGATCACACCGTCTCTTGCAGGCTGGGCCCCAGGTGAGTGGCCCTCCCTCCTGCCGGACCCCGTGGCTGTCCTCTCAGTGGCTGGGCCCAGGGTGGCCACCTGGCTAAGACCTGTGTGGCCAGAGTCCTATGCTTGGGTTACTGCCCTCTGTCACCATCTTGAAATTCTTTGTAATTCTCAGCAAGGGGCCCACTTTGCTTACAGTTTTGCCTGCAGCCTCTGACCTGAAGGGAATCCCGGGGGCCAGGCTCACAAGTCTGTGGCTTGGTCCCGAGCATATGAGGCGGAGCTCTGACCTCCTACTCGGACACGTGCCCGCCATCTGGCATGGTGGAAAGGGCATGCTGGACCCACAGGCCTGGGGTCAGCCTCAGCTCCACCACTTCGTGGGACTTTGAAGCCTTCGAGCCTCAGTTTCCTCCTCTGTACATTGGAAGGACAGCACCTCCTCCCACTGTGAAACAAGATGGTTAATGAGGAGTGACACCAGTGCTGACATGCCGGGTCTGGGCAGTGTCCTTCAGCAGCTGCTCGTGGCAGAGTTAAGGGCTCCTGGGCGCCACTGCCACCGTGGCCTGCCTTCCATTTCTCCAGGGAGTTGTTTGGGTCAGGCCTGGTACAGGAAGCCCTGCATCTCCCTCGAGTTTCCCCAGAATTATCAGATGGGGAGACCCGCTCAGCCCTCCACCACTGTCCTGCTTCTCCCAGGGTCCGCTGCAGCCACCACAGCGCCCTGCTCAGTGCCTCCCCATCCTTCAGGGCACTGCTTGGGGCCACATCCAGAACAGATGCCATTGGCCCCCACGTGTGGCCCACTGAGCAGGAAGGAGTGGTCCTAGGAGCAGCTCCCCAGGGTCCTCCCTCAAGGTCTCAGGGCCTCTCCTGAGGGTCCCTTGCCCGCCCAGCCCCAGTCCTGCCCTCTCTGCAGGCCCACACCACCCCTGCCGCACCCTGGCTGGTGGCAGTAGTGGGGCACTGGAATCCTCCTGGGACTGGCAGCCTCCACCCCACACATGATGGGGAACCTGTGGTACCTTGGATCCCGGGAGCTGCCCCAGGACAGCCTTACCGGTCCTTCCATCTGGGGGTCCCAAATCTTCACACCCATATGGTGGGGGCCTGCGCTCCATCCATCTTCCCTGTGCCCTCAAGCCCAGGGTCCTGCTGCAGCCTTGAGGATACCAGGACACCTATGGAGACCAGGCAGTGTGCAGGTGTCACCGCTGACCGCAAGTGTGAGCTGGGCCAGGGATGGGATGGCTAGGACAGCCAGCACCACATGCCGACGAACGGGGAGTGTCAGCTGGAGGGGGCTGGCTTGAGGATTACAGAAACTGGATCTTTTTTTTTTTCTGTTTTTGAGACAGAGTTTTGCTGTTCTCACCCAGGCTGGAGTGCGATGGCGCAATCTTGACTCACCACAGCCTCTGCCTCCTGGCTTCAAGCGATTCTCCTGCCTCAGACTCCCGAATAGCTGGAATTACAGGCATCTGCCACCACGCCCGGCTGTTTTTGTATTTTTAGTAGAGACGGGGTTTCTACCTGTTGGTCAGGCTGATCTCAAACTTGTGACCTCCGGTGATCGCCTGCCTTGACCTCCCTTTTTTTTTTTTTTTTTTGAGACAGGGTCTCTCTCTGTCACCCAGGCTGGAGTGCAGTGGTGTGATCTCGGCTCACTGCAGCCTCAACCTCTCAGGCTCAAGTGATCCTCCCACCTCAGTCTCCTGAGTAGCTGGGACCACAGGCGCATGCCACCATGCCGGGCTAATTTCTGTATTTTTAGTAGAGACAAGGTTTTGCCATGTTGCCCAGGGTGGTCCTGACCTCCTGAGCTCAGGTGATCCCCCCACCTCGGCCTCTCAAAGTGCTGGGATTACAGGCGTGCGTCACTGCACCCGGCCTGGATTCTTGCACCCTCTGGGAGTCCTACAGGAGAGTAGATGGACGGCAAACCCCAAGACCTGCTGGACTGGCCTGGGCTGAGGGCGCTAGCGGGGACATCTGCAGAGCCGGCCTCAGATCATGCAGCAAGAAACGACCGGGGAGGGGAGTGGGAGCTTCTGAGCTGCTCCCCCCAGGGCATTGGGCAGGGATTCCCTACCTCCAGCCTGACGTCCAGACCTCAAGGGGGATGGAGGGACTGAGTTCAGCCCTCAGGTGCACACCAGGCCATCACCTGGCTCCGTCCTGCTAGGGGCAGCCCAGATCCTGCAGGGAGTTGGGAACCAGGGGTGTCACCGTCTAGGCCTAGGGAAGGAGGAGGTTGTGGCCCTCGCCTGCCTCCCCTCAGCTCAGGGGGCTGCTCTGTTCTGGCCCAGATGAGTGATGCTGGAATGGGAGCGGTGCGGAGCAGGGAGGCACACACTCAGAGCCCTCAGCCACAGCTCCCCCGTGGCCCTGGCTCTGCCGTGCAGCAGCCCCCACACCCGGGAGCCAACCCGGCAACCGAACCAGGGCAGAGTCTGGACTGAAGGTGGACGGTGCGTGGTGGGAGGCTGGTGATCTGGAGTTTCGATAAGGAAAGCAAGGCCTGGGGAGGAGGCCAGGGCTCGGCCGCTGGGCTGGATCAGCACACCCTCCCCACGCTGCCCTGCAGTCCTTTGGGAGACAGCGGCACTCGGACCGGGCCACAAGCCCTGCAGGACACCAGTGGAGCCACGTGGGTGGAAGCCTAGAAATTTGATTCTGAATTGAAGTCCAGGGGGTTTTCAGTTTTCTGAAAATGAGCAGTTGTATAATCTAACCCTAAAATCAACAATTTATTGTTAAAAGACCAGAACCACCAAAGGGCTGTGCAGTAGAGGTGGCCGCGCTGCCTATGCTTTGTTTGTTTGTTTGTTTGTTTGTTTGTTTGTTTATTTATTGACGGAGTCTCGCTCTGTCACCCAGGCTGGAGTGCGGTGGCGTGATCTCGGCTCACTGCAAGCTCCTCCTCCCGGGTTCACACCATTCTCCTGCCTCAGCCTCCCGAGCAGCTGGGACTACAGGCGCCTGCCACCGCGCCCGGCTAATTTTTTGTATTTTTAGTAGAGACGGGGTTTCACCGTGTTAGCTAGGATGGTCTCGATCTCCCGACCTCATGATCCGCCTACCTCGGCCTCCCAAAGTGCTGGGATTACAGGTGTGAGCCACCACGCCCAGCCTGCCTATGCTTTTAATTTTTTAAATTTTCAAGGTCATCCTTAAAGCCTCTGCCTTGACCCTGCAGCCACAGGTCACTTGGCGGTGGGAGACCAGGCCTGGCGTCTGGATCCTCTCAGTGCCGCAGTGCTGCTCGGGGACTCGGTCCTGTGCGGAGTTACTTGATTAGAAGTTAAAGGTGGAGGGGAAAGACGCCTGTGGGGCTGTCCCAACCCGCTTCCTCCACTCAGACCACAGCTTTCAGTGGGCTCAGTCCCCAGGGACCCCCAGGCCCCAGGGTCAGCCTCCCAGGGCAGAGCTCAGAACCCCCTGCCCAGACCCCGGGGAGCCAAAGGGGCCCAGATCTGGGGACACGGCAGAAAGAGGGCTGGCACCTGCTGGGAGGGGTCTAGGAGCCAGGGGTGCAGCTCACACGAGCGCATACCCAGCGCCTCTGCTTCATGTCAAAGAGAGATGATGCTGGTGTCCACCTGAGAGGCCACATGGAGAGCACTCCACATGGACAGGACATTGCCCACAGGAAACACCCCTGCAAGGGACCTTGGACCTTGGGGAGGGTGGCTGTGCCCTCCCTGGCTGGGCCCTGCACCCCAGCCTGCAGCCATTCAGCTCAGAGGACCCCCGCCACCTCCCTGGCCCCTGTGGTACTTGGGGCTCCATGGGTCTCCGACTCCCTGCTGAGGTTCTGAGCCATTTGCAAGCATGTGTCCCCATGTGTGCTTGAGGGCTGGGGGCACCTGTGCATATGGTCAAGGGCCTTCTGTGCACACACGGCACTGCAGTGTGGTCCCAGCCATTCCTCAGCACCCGTGGGCCCAGCTCCATCTCAGGCGGCCTGCTTGGCACAGCTCTCGCTGGTCACCTCGTGCTGGGTGACTGCTCTCCACCAGCCACACTCGGGCTCCACATACCCAGCCTGGGTCACAGCCACTCATGTCCTGGTCCGGCCAACCTTGCGGGAACTCTGCCCAAGGAGGGACAGTAAGGGTTTTTGAGTACCAAGTCAGTGACCTTGACTGCCAGCAGGGGCTCCTCTGGACCCAGAGGCCGGCGAACACCTAACAACCTTCCCCTCCACACAGCGCAGGGGCAGGGGCGGATGAACCCTCCGTGCAGAAGGAGGAGTGGAGGTGGAGGCAGCACAGTGGCTGGCCCCTGATCCGGGTCTTGCAGAGCCCTCCCCACCTGGGGTGGGGTTGAAGCAAGTCACTCAGGGGCAGCTTCCCAGCTGGTACTCCTGAGACCCTCAGCTCCCCAACACCCTGATGTCCTCCTCCTCCCATTGTCCATGGATGGAGAAGGGACCAACGGTGCCTCCGGGGTTGAGCTCTCGTCTCCTGGTGCTCCTGCTCTCCTACCCCCCCACAGGCCAGGCCTGCAGCCTGAAGGGGCACTGGGCCCCTGTGCCCTGTGAGATGGGCACTGCCACCCTCGCTCTGCAGGTGACGAATGGAATGGAGGTGAAGTGAATTGCGCAGCCTCATACAGCATTGGAGTCCTGGACTTGTCTGACCACTGGTAGATGCCACCAGGGGGGGCCCGCCTGTCCCCCACCCCAGCAGACAGGCAGCAGGCCCAGCCCCATCCAAGCTAGGTGGAGACCCCTGCTCCACACCCTCCTGGGCTCCCCTCTGAGTTATATCCAACCCATCCCAGCAACCGCTGCTCTCAGCAAGCCGCCTGGCCTCACCTGCTCTCTCTTCCCTTCTCTCCTGCCTCTTGCCTTCCTTTTTGTGAGACAGATCTCGCTCTCGCCCAGGCTGGAGTGCTGTGGTACAAGCTTGGCTCACTGCAACCTCTGCCTCCTGGGTTCCAACAAATCTCCTGCCTCAGCCTCCCGAGTAGCTGGGATT